ACATACATGCATGCATACGCACATACATAGATACAAACATACATACATACATACATACATACATACACACATACATACATACATACATACAGATGCAGATACACACACACCCACACACGCACGCAGATCTAAGTATGCACATGCGCGCACAGCACAAGACAGCACAGTTCTTACGCGACTGAGTTAGGAGCACTCTGTTAGTTGTGACCGATGGGTATTGAGCTTGTAAGCGGGTCTTGAGCAGCACAGAAGTCGCTTCAAAGGTGCCGCGGGAAAGTGGTTGGGATGACATCCTCTGCTGGACAGCGAGCCTACTTCGGGCATTGCGCTCAGAGCTGTGGTCGGTGATGGAAAGGGGCAAAGACTCCAAGCATTGAGCAAATAGAAGCCGGCAGTAGAAAGTGCCTTGTGTGCTTGTGCACTGTGCTGCCTGCAGTCTTCGAGAGATCCACCTACCCAGGCGGAGCATGTGGCGCACTTCTTCTCTGCACTGCAGGGAAAGCAGGTCGACAATGTAAAGGAGCTGGACGAGAAGGCTTCAAACGGCTCTACGGCTCTTCTCAAGTTCGAGGGACTAAATGAGAGACCCTCAAAGGGACCCTTGGGGGTTATGTAGGGCCTTATGAGAGTATATATGGGGTATATAAGGGTTATATTAACAAGTGTTCATTCCCGATTGTTTTGGAGACATGCCAAGAATTGGAGGCTGCCGATTGGCTCAGCAGACGGCAGCGCATGAAGCGCAGAGAGGTCTCAATATGTGCCGGGCCTCGTTCTGCAAAGCAGGGGCTGTGCAGAGAAGACAGAGCCGAGCCGTGTTCTGCTCCGCATGTATATCACATGCACCATGCCATGCCACGCATCACAGTCGCGAAGAAGGCAGTCTTAGAGTCTTAGAGCCTTCTGTCTAAATCGCAGAAGGTCTCGTAGCTCTAGAAGTGGCTCCGTTCGGAGGTACTGCCTGTTTCGTCGAGCCTCTGCTGATCACGTTTGATGCTAGTGGCTTTGGACCGGCCAAGGAGGCGGAGTGCACACTGCTGTGTGGAGTTGGAGTTTTGTTGCAGTGACAGCTTCAGAGAGGCCGATAGTCTCCTCCGAGCTCATCTCCTGCACGACTTGGGCGGGAAGGCTCCAAGTTTTCCCGGGCCAAAGTTACACCGGTTGCTCGTAAGATTCGGAGTAGCTTTCTTGGGGTGCGACATGACCCTGCCCGCTCTGTGAGAGTTGGGTTGGGAGGTTGTGCAGCCCGTATTGCCCCTGCAGTGTTGGATAGTTCTTGCAGTCTTGCAGTGGACGCCCTGTCTTCGATCAGCTTGCGTGAAGCGGTCAAGGACGTACTCGTAGCAAGTAGGAGGTGTGGAGCCGTGATGGTGCTGCTGACCTTGGCTGCTGTTGCGGCCGGGACCGCTGGAGCAGGTATGACGTGGAGCAGGTGCCTCCTGGATATCAGTTGCGTTGCGGAAGTGTAGTGCAGTCTTCGAGTTTACGGACGCGAAGCTTTCTTCGATTGGCTACCTGCCTGGCCAGGTTCAAAAGACCGATGAAGGATCTCGTCGAGTCGTGGATCAGCAAGGCAGCTGATGGTGCCCGGTGCCTCGAAGAGGCAATGGATTTGTTCGGCCCTGTGGAACTTTTCTTCGGAGGTGCAGCTCGCATGCAAGCACCCAGGTGCCAAGTGGAGAGTGTCGACTTCAAGCTGTGTGGCGGGCAGATGCACTTCGAAGTTTTAGGTGGGCGTCACGTCGTAGCGACGCAGGAGCCTCACTAGGTGCATGCGGCATCAACGAGTCAGGTGTGGAAATCGGAAACTTGGCTCCCTACATGAGCGACTGGATGCTCTGCATCAGAAACGTGAACTTCGTGGCCTGAAGCTCAGCTCGGACGTTGGCCTTAGTCGTTCGTTCCAATGGGCGGGACACTTCTCTTTGGCTTTCCATCCGGTTGATAGCAGAGTCCATGTCCCTTCAAAGTCCGGGTTCCGCAGACCTTGTCGCCAGTGGTCAGTTAGCTTATGATCCAAGATGGCTTTGGCACCCAGAGCAGAATGGTCACCCTAGGTCAACCTGACGAGTTTGATGAGAGCAGGCCGGCGGGGGATGCTCATGTTCAACATTGCCTAAAGAGCTTGTGCACAAAGGTGCGAGTTTTGAGTCGTTTGACAGACAGTATCTCGACGACTGAATCTAAGGGCTCGACCAGCTTGTCATAGAGGAGCTGACTTTGGGTGGTCTGGAGATCACTATAGAGAAGAGACGATCTTGCCCGGACAACGTGGAGGAGCTCCTGAACAAGATCCAACACAACAGGGCACCAGGAAGCTATCCGAACGAAGGAAAGCTTCTCATCAAAAAGATGCAAGCCCAGAGCATGGTTGTTCAATTGGTTCTCCCCATGCCTCACGACGAGCCCTGCACCCTGTCCTTACTGGGTCCATCGATCCACAGCAACGACCTCTCCGAGAGCCACGGCGAAGCTGACCGTATGATCCAGCTGTTGCTGAAAGAGATAATCGGCTCTGCCAGCCGAGCCACGGCCTTGGTAAGTTCGCAAGAGTTCGGATCAGTCCGTGAAATCATGTAGACCTGCGCAGCCGATCCAGTATTCTGATCAAGTCTGGCCGGCATGTGGGTCGTTTCAGCAGCCCAGTGAAGTTCATGCCGAGGTCGCTGGCATGTATGCATCGCTGGTGACAGCTGAGGTCGTGTCAGATCCGGCCAAAGACAGCGCAAGCTCTGCAGGATCGCACCTCGGTAGAGCCAGGAGCACTTGCTCCAATGCAGCAGCTTCAAAAGGGAGCACACTGCATGGAGTTGTGCAATATTCGCTTGATTCTTTGTGTTTCTTCTCTGCGGATGTTTATGGTTTCTTCCAGCACTGGTTCCCTTCCAAGTAGAGATGGACTGAAACGAGTCCGTCCGCTTGCAGCTCTGGAATGAGCAACACTGGTTACTGAGAGCTGAACTTCCGCTGAACATTGATTGTTGCTTGATTCTTTGTGTTTCTTTTCTGCTGACGCGTTTTGCTTTTTGCACCGTTGGCTACCGAACTTCCCTTGTAAGTAGAGACGGACTTAAATGAGTCTGTCGAATCTCGCTGAACTGAGCAGTACCTGCACAGAGAGCTGAATGAGTGAATGCTCAACACTGATTGTTTCTGAGCCGAAGCGACTGCAATCCGGGAAATTATTGCCCGACACACGGAATGCAACAGTCCTGTTCTCATGATGTTCATAGTTCATGCTTCCAGCGGGTGCTATCCGTGGTTGCAAGTGCTGTGTAGCATTGCTCTGGATGTCCAGGCAAGCTTCAGCAAGCTAGCGCGCCAGCTAAGTCGCGCACCCAGCAGCACCAATGTCGCTCAGGCAGAAATGAAAAACCAGAACATCAAGGAGCCACGAGCACAATCCAGCAGTGTAGAACAATTTTGGGTTGTAGCAGTAGTGGAAAATGGCTGGTAAGCAAATTTCTATTCCTGGTGTGTTCGTTGTTGTGAGAATGCTTGAGTTGAAGTTGATACAGTGTTGTTGAGAGCAGTGGTGGAGCTGTTGTTGAGGTTGGAGCTCGTGGAATGCACGACAGGGTCGAAAGCAAACCTTCCGAGGGGCTCGGAAATGGGAAGGCGTTGTCTCTGCAGCAACAAAAGCAGCGGAGCACGAAACGTGTAGGACGCCGCGCATGTCGCTAATCGACATGATGATGCAGTCTTCGTTCGTAAGCGACGCATCTCGATTAGAGCTGTGATCTGGGGTTGAGAGTATCCGTGCACCGTCCTTCCCAATCTTCTGTCACGGTCGTTGTTGTCAGCTTAAGTCGACCGAAAACTGTCTAAGCCCTAGGCTAAGGCCGATGCTTTCAAAAGCTTTCCCTCCCATGGGTGTTGTTGTTCAGACAGGAGCACCGTGTCCAACTCTAAGAGGGTCAGATGGTCTGATAGAGATGGCAAGCCATGATTGATGAGGCATCGTGATAGTGCAAAGCCTTTGTTCCTTGATGAATCCCGAACCATGGTAGCAGGAAGTACCGCCGAACAACTACAACGGCAAGCATGAGGGGATGCACATACAGTATGTACACCTGAAACATTCCCGCTGCAAAATCCATGGAAGCTCCAGATTTCGATGTCATACCTTAACCGCCGTGGGCTTGAATCAGTGCACAGACGCAGCTGCTGTTCATCGTTGATCCCTGAGTCGACTGCTGGTTGACAGACCGATGTGGTACTCAGTACGTCAGTGACGGAGGAGGCCACAGACACTTCGGAGGGAGGATACTAAGACCCATGGTGAGACTATATGAGACCAGACCTGCGACAATGCTGCGCTGCCGCAGCATAGTCAGAGGATGATCGCAACGTGTCAAGAAACGACAATATTCGTCGAGGGTTCGAGGATCCAAAGCACCTGCATGCCAGCGGGTGGCCTACCTCTGAGGCTGGAGCGAGGCAGAAGTCGCCAGCTACTTTCAAAGCGTGGACGAAGGCTGCCTTATGTGTCAGCTGCTCTTCTCTGTGTTGCGGAAGTGGAACAGACAGCAGGTGCTCCGCTCAGCATCTTGGACGGGCTCTTGCAGCCTGAAAGGCACCACAGAAGTCACTGCTACATGGATCGGCGATACCCGTGCTGCCCTCCCCCTCCCCGACTTCAGAAGGTATCGGGAGCACTACTTCGACTCCGCACGTGTATCGCTAACCGTCCCACTTGCAGGCAGGTTGGCCTTGATTGATGTGCAGCAGCCTGTCGTCACACTTTTGCCCCCTCCAATGAGTGAGCCAACAGGGCCACCCCGAGAGCTTGGCAGTGAGCCCCTCGTCTCGTGGCTGGGGCCTAAAAGATTCCTACAGGCTTGGTTTGTTCTGGCTACAGCTCCCACCACACATGATTGCGAAGGCTGATACCAGCCCGAAGCTGCGAAGACTTCCTCCTTGACTGCTCCGCTGCTGTATTGGGTCTGCACTGTGAGCACGGCGTCGAAATTGCCACAGTGCTTCTCATACCCCAATGCCTGGCTCTTCTTATGAAGCCTAATCTCTTCCGAAGGTTTTCGCTCCATTGAGCAGCAGGCCCGTGACTCAGGGAGAGTTCTTCCCGTCTCTGCCCTCTGCTGGAAGGTTGGAGTGGCTGCTGGATCCTACGAAATTGTGGTGGTCGAGGACCGCCATCATACGCCAGCATGAATGCCACCATCACGATGATCTTCTGGATCCAAAGAAGTGTCACTCAAGCCGGAAGATGCTTTGGCGGCTGGTCACAGCTACTGTAGTTAGTTGCAGTTAGTTGAAGGTTCGGTCGAGCGGTGACACCGATTCCTGATCCCTCTTTTGGTGCAATCGAGAATCGAGAACGCAACAGCACCAGGTCCTTGCCCAGCTCGTCGAACTTGATCTTCGGTTCTTCAGGACGCTTCGGAAGATGGAACATCGGCGATTTTGCAGCACTACGCAGACAAGCGCCCGAACGCAGCTCTCTCAGGACATGCGCGTTCAGACAGGCTCTTGCTGCAGTGCTGAGAGATTGAGAGCTCGCATCTTCCCCGCCTCATTTCTGCAAAGGTTCGCATCGTTGATAGCAATGGAATGTGCCTGACTCAGCTTGTTTCAAGAGAGGTGCCCTTTTCAGCGCTTTTTCCTTGTCCCGGAAAGCTTTGGATCGCTGGCGAGGCCCAATTTGGCCTGAATATTGCATGTATTATATCTTATTACATAATAGTAATGGCTTATCTGAGTTGATCTACTCTGCCGGAAAATACACCAAGGCAACAAGGCGTGGCCGGATGCCTACGCGAAGGCTGGGAGCACTGTCGGGGTCGCTTTGTGGCCCGCCTGGATGCAGACGACGAGGCCCGGTGGGGGGCAGACCTGTGCACTCAGTTATACTCGTAGACAACCCTAANNGGGGGGGGGGGGGGGGGAGACCTTTTGCACTCAGTTATACTCCTAAACAAGAACGGTGAGTAGAGGCTCGCTGTTGTTGCCAGCACAAATTGACGAAAGGCTGACCTCCAGCGGCTGTCCAAGCAGCTTCGCTGCTTAGCTCAAGCTGAGTGAGACAGGTCCCTCTTCTGTGTCGGTAAGTTGACATGTCAGTGTAGCAGTTTGGAGTACCAGATTTTTTCCAAGGCTACATGGAGCAGCATCCGTCTGTGGCCTTCCCAGTTCACGGAAAGAGCTCTGCATGCCGGCGAGCATTCTCACCGGCTGTCAACGCAGATCTCCAGGTCTCCGTACTGGGTGGCCGCCACAGATCCTTCTTCACGGAGCACCGCAAGTTCACAGTGGAGCGAATATCGAAAAAGGAGGTCCGAACCGACACAAGACAATGTGACTTGACATGTACCAGCGCATGCTGTGCGGCACAAGCATTGCCTCGCCCTCCAAACAAAAGTACAAGCTCGCACCCCCGCTAGGGCCGTTACAGTCGCCTATCGGATTGCGAAGACAAGGGTTTACTTGTAGACCACCGCAGAAAACCCCTTCAGGAACCTGCAACCCTAAACCCCTCAAACAAGAAAACCCTTGGACCAGGATGGCCGAGTTGTAGCCGCCGTCTGGCGGGAGCACGGACCTCAAAGCAGGCTATACACTAGTATGTACACCTGTGGCTTGCGCATGCTTCGGAAAGGCTTTCCAGCCCTTGTCATACTGCTTGGTATGTAATGTCTGTCTCTAATCCATGCGTTCTCTCCCCTGGATCCTTCCTTGGTTGACCACACGTATTTTGGCTACGGCCGCTGGGTCGACGAGTCTATCGAGTCTTTGCAAAAGCTCTTCCAGGAGCATCGCGAAAACTAATGTGGCCGTGACAGTGACCCTGAGCATCTCAGTATGAAGCTTCTTCTGACTCGGTGAACTTCCGTTCTGCTGAAGGAGCAGCGCATGCACATACTGTTGCACGAGAGCCTTGTGTGGCTACAAAGCTCTGCAGTTTCGATGGCAGGCTAGGCGGACAGTTTGCATGTGCAACTCAGTTCGTGAACTCCTCGAGGTTTCATGGGCAGCAAACATCTCGCGCGCGGGAGCAGATCTGCTTAGTGCCGCCCCCAGTGGTTGCAGTTTCAAGACGCCATGCTTGTTGCGAGTGATGCATTCAAGACCTGGCAATAAAGCCGAAGTCTCTTCGACCCTGAACCGTTCACTCTTGCTACCAGGCTGAAAAAGGCGAGCAGGTGCTGGTCGTGGAGGGCCCGGCTGAGCAACCTGCCCTAATTATACGGTTTAGCTCTAGCGAGGTTCCAGGGCCACTATCTAGTGGTGGCAGGGTCAAGTTTCTGTCCAGTGGGGCAGGTACTTGAACTGCAGATTGCTGCGAGTCGGCGAGGCAAGGTTCATGGTCCGCTCCTTTCGCAACAGGGCTTCCCACAAGCCGCACGGATTTGGCACACAGCAGACAGCCAGCACGACTAAGCCGTCGAGGCTTCTAAGAGAAAGATGCGTTGTTCCAGGAGTCCATGGTTCTTCATCCAGAGAGATGGCAAGAGGCCAGGGTCTGCGTACAGTGTTGTTCACTTAGACATCACGAATCAACTCGTCATGGCGAAGATCATCTTCTTCCTCCGAAAAATCCAGATGCCCGTATGATCTCAGATATCATTGCAAGCACTCGTACAACTACCGCTACTGCTGCTACTGCGACTGATGCTTGTACTGCTACTGCTACTGCCAATGCCACCGCCACTGCCACTGCCGCTGCTTCTTCTACTGCCGCTGCCACTGCTACTGCTAATGCCGCTGCTGCTGCCGTTGCCCGCTGCTGCTGCTGCTGCTGCTGCTGCAGCGGTGGTACTAGTACCGGCAACGATGACAATGGTGATGTCGCCCACGAGGACGTCGGTGACAGCGACGACTACTTCTACACTACTCTTTGTGCTGAGCTTGACCACTCTGCACCACCTGCTCTCTCACTATCATCAACACCATCGCGAGGATCAACCTCGGGATGATGGGGTCGGTGATTGCCCAAAGTCTGAACATGAGAGAGTCGTCGTTTGCCAGGCTCTGAGTGCTGCACAAGGTGGCCGAGGGGAGGCCTGAACCGGGGCGTCGAGTCCCCTATTCACCATCCATTACTCCACTACGGGCACCATTGTATGAGAACATTTGGACAAGAAGGCAGGAATAGCAATGTGTAGAATGTGTAGACAGTCGTGGCCGGGTTAATGCTGCACGACAGTCTAGCCATAGTTCCCATGCAGCTTCGAGCATGTATCATCAGCTGCCATCGGTTTGGGGCCCTGGGATTGGCCGAGGATAGCTTCCAGTGGTCGCCTTGAAAGCAAAGGTCGATATCTTGTCCACAGTATGAACTACGGTTTAGGCCTTGGGGGGCAGCAGACTGTTGCTGCGACTTGTCATCAAACTTGGGAGTCCTCACAGAAACACAGGCATTTTGGGACCTTGCATGAAGCATCGGCCTTCGGATTCTTCACCCATGGTAATCCACAAGGCTTCTCATTCAATGGCTCCCTCTGAGGTGATATGCTGTCGTATGCCAGTAATGACACGACTTCACGCTTTCTACTCTTGCAAACTTGTGAGAGTATGACCGTTCTGCACCTGTTTGGAAGATCGTTCATGCAGTGAGGCCGTTATTTGACAGTGAGACTTCTGGAAACATCAAATTCAGATTCTCTTGTCAGTTGAACAAGCAGCTCTGTGATTGTGCAATAGCTGTCGAGGCTTGAGAGATGCTATCATACTGTGCCAAAAGAAATCGCTTTCTTCTGCAGCCAAGGTATGTTGCGTTTGCACAAAACTGTCATTGACATGCTGGGGTGCTTCCGTGTTTCTATCTCTTCCTACTTGAAACCCTAACCCCGGCAACCCCCCAGCCCCAGCCCGAAACCCCAAAACCCAAACAAAAGGCTAAGGCCTGCAACCCAGGCCGCGTAAGCCCCGCAGTGGTCGCTTCCCCCTAATTTTTTAAAGCCTCCCCGAATATTCAAACTCCCGACCCCGGAATTTTGCCGTTTCGAGGGCCCACAGGTGAAGTTGATTGAAAACATTAGCGGGGACGGTTTAGGGTTTAGGGTCTAGGATTTAGGGTTTAGGGTTCAGGGTTGACTGTATGAGTTTTAATAGAGCCAAGACTACAGTAGTATTAAACCAAAAGGAACCAGGGCTGATGGCTGTAGGGTTCAGGGCTTAGTTAAGGCTGGAGGCCGAGGGCTTCAGGTTTACTGAAAGCTAAAAGGGAAAGGCTTAGGGGTTTTTGGGTTGAGGGCTTAAAGCTAAAGGCTTAGGGTTTTGGAGGTTAGGGCTCAAGGCTTGGGGCTAACCACTTACCTATCTGACTGACCCATACCCGGATGCCCGAACCCCCCGATCGCCGCCCCTAAGATTACAACTCGGCCGCGGGTTTCGGGTTTCTATGTGAGGGAGGGGGGGGGGGGCCCTTGTAGAACGGGGGGACGGGACTACACGTAAACCTTCAGATTCGACCCTAAACCCTGAATCCTAAACCATAGACCCAAAACCCTAAACCCTAAGTCCTAAACCCTAAATCCTAAATGCTAAACCCTAAACCCTAAACCCTAAATCCTACACCCTAACCCCTAAGAGGTTCTTCTTCTGCGGAGAGATCCGTTGGAGCCCGCACAGGGAGGTCGATGGTCTCTGCCTGAGAAAGGATGAACTTGGGAGCTTCCATCAATTTGGGCCCCCCCAAAGTAAGAAGATGGCTGTACTATAGTTATAGTGTAGTGTAGTATAGTATAGAATAGTATGGTATGGTATAGTATAGTATAGTACAGTATAGTATAGCATAGAATAGCATAGTCTTTCCATATGTTATAAGATATTGTAGTATATTCGGCCCCCAAGTAATGAGATGGACAATTCCGAAATGCCCCCTTCCTGGCGGTTTTGGCTATACTTTCTCGCGAGATGTGAAGAATCTCAAACGTCTTCAGGATGCATCCCTGTCTTGTGCGGGCGGCCTCTCTGTTCGAGGACATTGGCCAGGGTTCAGGGTTTAGGGTTTACCCGGCGTGAGAAGTCCCAAGGCAGAGACCTGCCACTGCTCCTTCATCGCAGGAGTGCGTGCTGGGGACAACGTGCCTCTTCCGCAAGTCGCACTTCGGTGAGGCGTGCGGTCTGCCAGCAGCAAAGTAGGAAATTCCGATAATGGTTTCCTCATCTCAATTGTAGCGGGCTCCTTGTTGAGAAGCCCTGCTTAGCCATAGCTGGGGTGAGCACAATGCATGCAGATTAGGGCATGGATGACTCCCGACGCATGTTGCCGCCAGGCACACAGGTAAAATAGGCAAACAAGTGCAGTTGCGTCAACGATCGCTGCTTGACGGCAAGTCGCTGAATTTCCGAGCGCTTCTTTGTGGCGGCGAAATGTCTCGTCCCGCGATTCGCCCTTGCAGGAGTGCCCATTCAAGCGGGAGGAGGCAGAAAATCATTGGCTCTGGTTGGGCCTGGAGTCGTGTCCCCGAGCTCGCTAAGAATTTGTGCAAAACCTGTCATCCAATCGAGGATTCCACACCAAGTTGCAAGCAAGCTTCCCAAATAAGCTTGGCCAAGACCACTGCCCAGGTCGAACCAACATGCCATGAACATTGCTGACGTCCTGGTGCACACCAGGCCATCAGAAGTACAAGGGACCCGAGTCCTTGAGAAGTCTGTGACGCCCCGTAACTTGCTCTAGACATGGGCAGTCCGAAGTTGTGCGTCGGCTCGAACGCCTGTGAACACATGAGAATCCATGCCCACCCATGTTGGCCTTCATACGCGGCGGTGTTTTGCATGTCTGCAGAAGAGTAGCTATTCCAGCTCAGCACCTCCTCCAGTGCAGGCATTGCCTAAGGCAAGAAGATACGAGTTGACCCCGTCATCCTGCATCAGCCCGTGTAAGCCCAAACAGCTCATGCTGTCAATTGCCACGCCATGCCCGGTGCCTCACTTGGGGACGGAGCATGTGCCCAGGCCAGTGGTCCACAAAGGAAATGACAACTGCATGAGGGTCGCACATGTGCCTCTGCTTGTGTCACGACATGCCTGGACTTAGAAAGTGTCGGGCCTCACAGCTGTCTTGGCTCAGTCTGGACAGCATAGATCATCGATCGATTCAAAGCTAAGTACAGGCACAGAGACAGCATGCGAACCTGCTGAAGGGGACGTGTAGGGAGCCCCAGCCACAGGAGACTGAAGCTCACGGACTTTAGACCGCCAGCGGAGCCATGTCGGGTGGCTGTGGAGCCACGAGCATGGCCGAACAGCTTGAGCTGTTCGTGCAGATGGCCGCAGCTCCTCCGTTGAAGAAGAACCTTGCGTCGGAAGCCTTCGCAACAGGTGAATGCGGGACCGACATTTCTCTTTCGAAACTAGCAGATTGGGAAGAGATGGAGAGCGAGCTCAACACGGACGACGATGCAGTGATCGATGAGAACTTCCAGCGTTACAAGGCTATGTGGGATGAGGAGAAGCAGCTCGATGAGGAGTTAGACACGCTTCGCGCGCAGCTCAAGCAAGACAAAGCCTACAACCACAGGGAGAATCAGGGGCATCAGCAGAAAGTGAAGAAGCTGCAGCAGATGCTGCAAAAAGTGAAGAAGGAGGATGCCTCGCGCAAGAAGGCTTCGGAGTCCAAGGTGGGCAAGATCAAGGAGCAGCTGCAGGAGGAAAAAGTGGAGCTGACCCAGAAGCTGGAGCAAGCGCGGGACCTGAACAAACGGCTGAAGCAGAAGTTGGAAGCTCCTGCTCTCGTGGAAAGCAAAGACACAACCAAAAGGTTGAAGTCTGAGCTACATTTGTTGACAATGGCCTTTGCAGACGAACAAGGCAAGGCAAAGCTTCTCTGCCAGGAGTTTGAAGGCAATTCTGCTGTTCAACGAGTTCGTCAGATCGAAGTCGACCAAGTGACGCAATCACTCGAGAACTTGCAGAAGCGGCTGGACACTCTCAAAGCAACAGCATCAAAGCGTGCACAGAAGATTCGTGACCTGAGCAGAAAGCGTGACGAGATGCTCGAGTTGAAGGATGATGCAAAGGAGTTCGTTCGAGCTTTGAGGTGCAAGCACAAGGTTGCGAAGACCAAGTTTGAGGACATGCAGGGCATTACACGGACTACCAGAACCCTGAGCAAGTCTACAAAATCCAGTACAGTGGCAAGCAGCAAGTCTGATGACCTGGTCTGAGGGAGCCTGCAGGTGTAGTTTATTAAGCAGGCAAGTGATGTAAGTGCATTGCTCCTTCCCGAGGAATTCAGTGGCTCGCACAGGGAGCCCTTGTCTCACTCAGTGTTTCATAGGGAGGTGGACCCGCAATACTTACCACCGCGACACTGCCGAAAACAATGCAGCCGCTCACGAAGGCATATGGAGAGTCGTGTAAGTTGCACCGGACATGGCATGTGGCGTGGCCGTGCTCGTCTGTGCATCAGCCTCAGTTTGCAGAGCCTGTGAGCCCAGAAGAAACGAGGCCGCCGCTGCCGCTGCCAGCTTCCAAGGCCGGTCCACTTGCTGGCTACGACTTAAGCCTTCAAGTGCTACAGCATGCTACAATATGCTACAGCTTTCAGGATGCCTGTTGCTCCCAGGAGTTGTGGCCCAAAGCAGGTCTTGTCTTGGCATGCCTCCACGAAGACATTGTAGCCACTGTACACACACACACACATGTTCAGCCCAGTTGAGCCAAAACGTGATGATAGCACTTCAGCTGGCTAACGTCGACAAATATTCACTCACATCGAACTAGCTGTGGTGCTTTCGCTCCGACGTGTGGTTCACGATGACGGAGCTCACGCCGAAGTCGCCGAGAACGACAGAGAAGTTTTCCTTGAAAGACAAGTCAGCAGTCTCTCGAACTCGGATAATACGGTGCCTTGGTCCGGTCCAGCTCCACACCAGCTTTATCAAGTCAGCTTCGGGGTGCTGTCTAGACTCTATAGACCCACCTCGCCAATGCATCCACCCACCCACCCCCCACCCACCCACCCACCCACCCACCCACCCACCCACCCCCCCACCCCCCCACCCACGCCCCCACCCACACCTACCCCAACCCACCCCCACCCATACGTCCAAGCTGAGAAGCTGAAGCTCATCGCTCAGGCAAAGATGCTGTGTGCGAAGCAGGAAGGCACCGCCCGACTTTCAACCGCTGACGAGGATGCGGTACTCCAGCGCGACATGCCTCTTAGTTGCTCTTGGCCATCTTGCTCTTGGACTCCTCTTCTCAAAGTGCTCGAGGCCGGGCTGACAGCATGTCTGCATGTGCCATCTCCTGAGGCTGCTCTTTCTGGAACATATGTTTCTTGTTCGTGCAGACGCGGTTCTGGTCAGCCTGGCCCTCACGGATGCCAGTTGCCGGGATGTCGGGCAGTTCCGATTCCTACAGTAGACAGCTGAGGCACTGGCGATCTCGCTACCGTGCGCGCTTATCGCAGGTGGACTCAAGCTCTACCAGAATTATGTTGAGACTCGGCAGCTGTTCCTCTGCACATCTACAGGAGCAGTAGTAGCTATGCCCGGTTCTGCAGAGTCCTGCACTACAGTAGCTGTCGGGTCCTGCCCTGCCTCTCCGCTCGTAGACGATGTTGCTTCCGACAGCTGAGGATGAAGGGAAAATGTGGCATGGATGCATGAAGACAGCATTCCCAGCTGACTGCCCCACAGCTTTGATTCGTGCTGTCTTCGCGAGGAATGGCGTCATCAATGACGACCAGGCCTACACCGGAATCGTGGTGCTCATCAGCTTTCTGATAGTTTTCCGCACCCAAACTGGCTACCACAAGCACGCTCCTCAGAGCTTGCTTGTAATCCGAATGATCCAGCACCTCATCTCTCAGCTTGCGCAGTCGGATCAACTCCTGGAACCTCCGGCAGACTAACCTTCCTTCTCGTAAGACCACTCTAGCATGCGACATCGGTGGTGTTGTACTAGTATAAGGTTCTGGGAAGGACCCTCGGAAGCATTTTGCGGTTTCTGGAGCGCTTGTGATCTCATGACTGCAGCGATCAAAGGGAGTGCCTCGGAACAAGCGCCACGCGCTCACTGAGGGACTGATCTTGGATACCAGTTGGTGGGAGAGTCTTGTTCAACAACAGACACGACATGTTCCTGCTTGCTCCTCTGGAGTAACTAGCATCCCCTAAACCCTAAACCTACACCGTAAACCCTAAACCTAAACCCTAAACTAGCTAGCATGGCAGCAGATCCGCTCCCACGTTTTTTAAGGATCTCTCTGACGGATGTAGCGACCTCATCGCCTACTGTGAAGGCTCCAAGTTGGAGGATGAGGAGGTTCAGGCAAGAGCCAGCAAACTTTGAAAAGATATACTATATGATATATAATATATACTATATACTATATGATATATAATATATACTATATACTATATGATCTATATAATATATAATATACAGAGCCTGCGATCTCCGGTCTTGGATCGTGTGCGTAGGCTTTTCAGCACCTCCTAATTCGTCAAGCCCTCAGCCTTTCTTTGGATTCCCGTTGGCAGTGCTGGTGCTCCCTTGCAGTTCCCTCTGAGGTTTGGCTAGCCTTCTGTCTGCTGTGTGCTTTGCAGAGCTCATGGGCGGTGGCATAGCCTACGAAGGTTCCCGTGGGCTGTTTCCGGTTTAGTGGAGACATAGAGTTACGGAACATTGGCAGATCCGACGGTGCCGACTAAATTCCTGGAGTATGAGCTGGCCGCCTGCTTAGCCTTCTCTTGACTGCGGAGCCTAGCGTTTGCCACCTCGCTGCCTTCAATGCGTGATCCATCAACCTTAGATCGACTTCAGCGGGCTGGATGATGACACTCGCCAGTTTATGCTCGATGGGCAAGGCACGTGGCCAGAAGTACAGCATCAGTTTGCATCTGTCCGTGCATCGAGGCAGCCCAGAGATTATCTATCAGTGGATTCAGATTGCGATATGCACGCAGCCGAGTCGGCTTCGCACGGAGCCTGAAGCGAAGTTTGCAGTCCAGCTCTGTTCACCAGGTCGGGCTAACAACATGGGCACTTTCGGCGTGCCACCGCCAGTGCTTACACGAGCATATCAAGATCTTGGTCTCTCCATGATCAGGTTCCACCAGGCCATGAAGTTTAAAAGTGGGTATACAAGCACTTGTCGCTCGAAAAAGGGTAGTTCACCAGCCCTGCGTGCTGCCAGGCGCAGAAGATTGTGGAAGTCCCCTTCCCTTTGCCATATGTGGTTGCAGCTCGGGTGCAGGATGCACAGGGAGTCCACCATCTTCAGATACTTGCCCGCTCTCTACTAACAACCCGAGGCCTCTTCATTAAGACCAACAAAGCTGTAAAGTCCCCACAAGCCCTGCTGGTAGGCCGGCTGACCAGCACTTTTATATCAGAGAAGTTGGACACAAAAAACGCAGGTAGATCTTATAGGAAGAACCCCCCCTCCAGAAAAAATGACAAGGCTTCACAAGGTTTTCATGTATGTGGGTTTCTGTCAGCTCCATTGCCAAATGGGCGTTGGCACGTTCCTGCCGAGATCTTCTTCCTATGTCCTGGTCGCGCATCCCAAAACTAAGCCCTAAACCTAAAACCCGCCTTGCATGACCTCGCCGAGGCTTTGCAGCTGCTGCTGATCACACACTGGGTGATGACGCCAATCGTGTGCAGCGGATGGACTGACTACACTGCTTGGGCAGCCCGCGGCATTGCAGTCAAACTTTTTCGTTGTGCTATGAATATTTGCCAGCATCATGAAGCATTAACAGACTGGGATTTGATCGAGGCTGTCATGTTCGCGCTCACGAACACGTTATCACTGTGGTTCTTCGTTGGAGTCGCAATGGAAATGGACTCACCATTCAAGCAAGCCATGTTTGCTATTGACTCGAAGGCTTTGCAGCGCCACCTGAACCATCGACTTATGGCACAGCTGCACACATTCGAGGGGCCGCAGCCGTCTTTGAAGAAGACTTTCCTCAAAGACCCTCTGCCTGTTGCTGCTTGGCTTGGACTCCGAATTGTGGAGGCAACAGGAATTTCAGGAAGTCAAGCAAGCCAACCGGGACAGCCGAAGAGTTTCGGATCCCGAAGCCCAAGCCCAGAGCAAGCCCCCCAGACCTAAGCCCTGTTACTTATGAGGTGATGACACCACAGGAGACCGGGCTTGAAGTCGGGCGAGTTCGGTCCAACTCCCGTCCTCCTGTTGGCAACTATCGGCGGACCGGCTCCCTGCATGGAGCCCTGACGAATTTCTGTCTGGATGGGCCGTTGGAGTATGACGACCACTCAGACGATGCAGCAAGCCCCCAAGATGTGAAGCTCTGCTTGCCAGATGAGAAAATCAGGCTGTGACCGGAAACGCACACAACCTGCGTGAACAGCTGAAAAGCATCACGATGTACTGTTGTTGTTTACAGGCTCTTTTCCCCCGAAGAAGCACAGACACAAAGATGTTTGCGAAAACGCCTTGCGGCAGTGCGCAAAGTCTGTGCAGAAAGCCCTCTGAACGTGGCAGAGGCCCTGAACATAGTTTCACACAGGCAAAGGCAGCCTTGCTAGCGGCGTAACACCTTCTGTGCCAATATTGCTGAAATATTGAGTGGCTGCACAGGGTCCCGCTATGATCAAGCACAAACCAGACTGCGACGGTGGGCACGGCAGTTGCTACTGGCATAGCCGCATGCGGCTTCCATTTTCGAGACCCGGTATGTGATGGTCGCAAATTTGGAAACCCAGCTAAGCTGGCGTTCTGCAACTCTGACCTGACCCGCCAAGATGGTCAAGAAACACAAGCAGCCAGTATCAGGTGTTGCTGTCGAAGTCCTTGCATGCGAGATGGATGTCTTGTTGTGCAGATATTATAGTATATTATATTGTAGTATTTTATAGTACATTATTGTATATTACAGTATATTATGTTTTGCAGGCGAGGCGGCCCAGTTGCCAACAGCGCGCTGCTTTCGCGGCTCTACTCGCCGCTTCTCGCTGGTGCCGCTATGGTCGCTGTGGTTCAGACCGAAGGCTGAGAAATCGAAGAACGGGCTGTAATAGTAGTAATAATAATAATAGTAATGATAACAATAATAACAATAACAATAATAAAAATAATAGTAATCATTATCATAATAATAATAAAAATAATAACAATAATAATAATAGTAGTAATAACAATAATGTCAACAATAATAATAATAATGGTAATAATAATAATGAAAATAATAACAATAATAACTGTCGATACTTAGATCGCTTTGTCAAGGCTGCGCAGCCTACGACGCGCCTCCGCGGAGCAGGCAAATTTCCCACCCACACCTTCGGGGGACGCTTTTTTTAGCGTTGCGTTTCGCAGACGTAGGGTGTTCCCCAGAGGGTCCGAGTACCCAAAGAGTAAGGTTTTAGGTCCCAGAATCCATACTCTAAATGGTTGTGGGACCTTGAAACCCTGCAGGAGGAGCCCGAAAAGTCTTTAGAAGAGAAGTTCAGCGACTTCACCACGGTGCTTCCCTGGCCGAGCACTGAGATGATCTGTGCTGCATGTCAGTGCAGAAGCTCTGCCATGCCATGCTTTCCCCCACACAGGTTCGGTTTTGCAGCCGATATCCAGCATCTCCACTCGAAAAGGCGAGAACAAGTTCGAGAGGCACCCATTTAAGTAAGTGACTGCTGGAGGGTCAAATTCGTAGTCGATTCCGTGAAACTCGTGAAGGCATCCGCTGCACCACAAATCGCTGCTGATGCTGCAGTTCTCAGTAAAGCGCTCCAAGGCAGGATTGCATGGAGGTTTCACTCGGTTGTTGGCTCTTGGTTTGACCGTGCATGACAGTTCGCTAAAGTTCAATAGTTTGTGCAGGGAGAGGGAGCGGACGGGTGTGCAGCAGAGGCGCCATCGACGGGGGCAAATGCTCGGAGGAGATACCGGAGGCTGGATGTGTCCGGGTGAAGGTTTGAGAGTGGCTTCACAGACGTGGCGGTCAAAGGCCATTTGGCAAGACTGTTGACAGAGACTTTCGATCCTTGGATCAGCCTGAAATGACACAGGTCGTTGAAGCTGCCCTGCGATTCTCGGAGTCTAAGAGCGTCGAGACAAACCCGACGAAGGCAGGACAGTGTCAGGCTGGACATCGAAGCCTGTGACATTTGCATCTCATAGTGACGCATGGTGGAAGAAAGAGACGACTCTTGCCGAAACCTGTTCTGGTCTGGCGGAGCTGAGTCGGGTCTTCCGAGAGCCGCTCTTCACAGCAACCAAAAGGCTCTAGCCTTTCTTCGGTAGGATGATTCCGAGAGAGACCATGGCCGGGTTGCATGCCCCCTTCAAGAGTCAAAGATTGAAACTGGAAACGGTTCGTCGGTCACTTCGAGGCAGGCATGCAGGTCTTGAGGGTGCGCGAAAAGGGTCTAAACTTGAGGCATGGCCTTAGGAAAGTCATGAGCGCCAATGGAGGCCATCGAGAGCATCGCTGGCCGATGGGAAGCTGTGCCGGTCTCAACTCATGGGTTCTCGTTCCGCCGACCCCGGGATGATGGTTTTGGTGATGCCCTGGCAAGTCTGGACTCGATTTATAAGGTAACTAATCAGATAGATAACAGATGGGTGCTCACTCGCGAACTAGTGCAACACGTTTGAGAGCACCGTGTGTGCTGCGTGTGCTTCTTGCTTTTTGTTTGCTTTGCTCAGGTGTGGAGTGGCGCTTTCACTCCGTTGCAGAAGTGGGGGATCCCGCCCCAGTGTTTGTGGCTTGAGGCTGGATCGGGGGCTGCAGTGGGGTCCCGGAAAGCTTGAAGCCAGAAACCCATGTGTGCAGGTATTGCCAGGGAAGGGAGAGGAGCCGCCCGTAGTCGCAGCCCATAGTCCTGCCCTTGGTCCTGTCTGTGAGGTCTGCAGTTTGCATAGGGCCAATCGGTTAGCAGCGAATGACCCGGCGAGGGCCCATGTGCAAGTGCTTTTTGGGCCAGCTTTTTTCACCCAGGTGGCTTGCCTTTGGCTCTCTTCGGTGCCTACCTGTGGACATCATGTGCTGGAGATTTAGTTCCGGCGGCATCTTGCCAAATCTTGGCACACATGGAAGTCGGGCAGAGTATTGCTTAGGACACCGTTAGGAAGCCTAAACCCTAAACTTAAGTCGGGCATTCAGGCACAGGCTAGGATTTCCCAAATGAATTGTTTTTGTACAAAAAAAGCGAAAAAAAGTGCTTCGCAAAATGCGATGGAATTTGGAGATGTGCAACAAAAAGTGAAAAAATGCAAAAAAAAAGTGTGGCAAGCTGTACTGGTGGCTGGTGCATGCCTGGGTTGGGAATATAGAAAATGTAAGAAAAAAGTGAAAAAAAGTGAAAAAAAAGTGAAGCCAAGAGAGAACACGAAATGAATAAAGACATGAAGCACATACACAAGTGCAGCACCTGCTAGTCGAAGCCAAATTAGGGGC